TGTTGCTGGTATTATCAATATATCCCATAATGGGCCATAATAATGTAATTTCAGGAATTATGTAGGGTGGAAAGCTATACCATAATCTGTTGAATTTTAAGAGTGTGAAAATTAACTAATCATTTATTAAAACACCTCACTCATTACTGGCTGTCCAAAACAACTTGTGAGTGTATTACAGAATGCATCTAAATGCTGAGAATAATTACAATGAAGTTTCCCCCCAAAATTAGCTGATTGAAAAAGCAATTAATTAAGAAAGCATTTCTTCATTGTAGTATTTGTCTCTAATGTGCTATGTCTCGCTGAATTTTAGTTTACACTCTGATCTATTATACTTGCCGATGAGACATTTCTCAACTAAACAATATGGCTTGCAGACCAAAGCCCCAATTTGTTGCTCAAAGTTCATTGGGTGCTCTAGGTTCTTCCTACAGAAATGCTCACCACCAGCTCCACAGAACAGACACACCCATCTTTCTTTGGGCAAGTCCTTTGTTCAACTGTCACATACAGAAGCAAGAAAAAGATGCCTCCAGAATACAAATAATTAGCTTCTGCAATGATTTTACAATGGCAGAATACCATTTTGCATATCGCAGTCTAAAATGACAGAAGATTGTCCTTTTGTTTAAACCATATTAAAGCAATAGAAGTAGAGGTAAGAGGATATGCAGCTATACATATATAAATCTAATGTAAAGCACAAAAGCAAGAATAAAAAAATAATAAAAGTACAGAAACTGTGGAACAGTGCGAGAACTATTCCAACTCAGGCAGTTTTGTACTACCTACCGCTTGCTTCCTGATCAGGGCGTGGCAACACCAATTCTAGAATTGTATTCTGTGAAACTCTGTGTGATGTGTAAAACCTTGGTTCTGTTGGAGGTTTGTCTTTTATTTCATCGGGAGAGCCATCTCATGCTGAGGATTTTATGGATATATTTGTACACAATAATGAAAAGCATACTTTGAATAGAATAGAGTAAACAGAATAGAATAGAATAGAATAGAATAGAATAGAATAGAACAGAACATTTCCAGCTGGAAGGGACATACAATGATCATCTAGCCCAATTGCCTGACCACTTCAGGGCTGATCAGAGTGCGGTAGCTGTCACACTGATAGTTATCACACTGGCCAAATTGAATTTACATGCAGTAAAGCTTTATTCAGGAATTACAGAGCTTGAGACAACACGTGCATGTAGTTTATGCACTCAGCCACAAAGAGACTTTTTGTACAGTCCTGAAGCTTGGCTGGCATGACAAAAGACCTTTCAAGAGTAATGGTCCTTGAAGCAGATAATGCGCTTGCAGCTTTGACACAGTTTATAGAAAGAGAATTCCATGATCCAGTGATGATGACCATTTGCCAGCAGCAATTCCTTTTGCATATCAAGATCTAGTCCATTTATAAAATGTTTGAGTTTCCCAGTGGTTTTTCAGTCTTTGGTCTCCTTTCCTTGGACTATATACTGTGCAATGCCAGGGGGTGTTAATTTCCCCTGGCCACACCATTTGCCTTATCCTATTGTTAGTCTGCTTCTTTGTCTTCCTTGTTATGTCTAAAGCAGTGTTCCCAGCTCTTAAGGTTGTAATCCTTCAGTAACCAGAAGCTGACTGCCAGTGAGATGTTTACAGCCTCTGTTTTCATCCTGTGCATATATTTTCAAGGTCTCTGCATAACAAAAGATGCCTGGTACCAAGCTTCAGTTTGCACTGCAAATTCTCACAAGCTGATAACAAGCCTAATGGCCCACCAGTTCTGTGGCCTTGCAAGGCTAGCATTAGGTTTCTTACTAGCAATGGGAGTACCATTTTTACTGGGCCACTCAGACAACAGTCACAGGCAATATACCTCCTTGTGGTGACAGCAAGATTTTTTTTTTCCTGTAGATTTTCTCTATTTCAGTGCAGCATCTTAAGAGTCCACCCAAGTTATGACTAGCCAAGATTACCAGCATGTTTCCCTTTTGCTCTGTGCAACTTTCTCTTGCAAGTTTGCAAGCAAGCCTGTGTATTTTGAACGAGTCTAGATGTGCTAGCAGTTCAGTAAATTGCAGTTGTGGATGGACTTTTCTCATCACCAGATCTTGTAGAGTGTAAATGACAGTTTCAATGACTTCCACAGAGAAGAAGGAGAAGACTGAGACTAAGCATTTGGAGGGGGTGGCTGTGACTGACAACCAGTGAGTAACAGGTGGGAAAGGATTCAGAAGGGAAAAGATATAAGGAGAAACTAGGGAATAATGAGAGAATAAAGAGTGGCACTGACTGATGGTGGATCAGTGGACTGGGGAGAATGGGGTGAAGCCCAAGAGTTGAGGAGCCCAAGAAGCTGGACTGAAAGGTGTGGGACAAGGAAACTTGAAGTTGACTGGCTTCATGAGAAATGCTGCTGGAAACAGCAGCTGAGGGGACTGAGTTATGAAAAACACAAAGAGCCTTTCCCTAGTGGAATGAGTAATATGAGACACATGGGATTAGGAGTAAGGAGTCTGCATGAGAAAAAGACAGGAGAGAGAGAGTGAAACAGAACAGATGATGTTAAACATCTTCTTTTTCCTAAAAAGTGACAGGTGAAGGACCGTGATCCATTAGGACATACTCAAAATTGGTAAAGGTCTTGAATTTAATCAGAGGTCTGCCATCTTCAGCAACACCATCTCCTCTCCTTCAGTTATTTCCTGTGCTGTAGGAGCAGAGATCTATGTTCCAACCCTGTGCGTATCTCCGGGACACACTGCTTTTTGATTTGACAATGCACAGGATTAGGACTATGACACAAAGCACATGTTCAGGGCTACTCAGAAGGTTAAAGGCTGCTAGTTTTAAGATTGTTTTTCAGTCATCATCTTTGCCTCTTCCAGCCTATTTATAGAACACTCAGCAAAATATCCCCCCCCAAAGCAATCTTGTGCCAGGCTGTACCGAGTGTAGTGGAGGTGACTGTCCTAAAGTCTCTATATTCTGCGTTTTAGAAGATAGCAGGCTGACAGTGTTTAAACACTGATTTAGGGAAGAGAAAAGCTAGTCCCTAAACTGAGTCAGTTCTGATTTTTCCTGTATTTGCCACCAAGTTGCTGGGTGATACTGGGCAAATCACTAAAACAAGCTTTTCACATCCAGTTGCCAATTTGAATTTTTTATCTTATGGCTGGGTTATTTAAGGCATTATGATTTAGTTTACGGAATTGTTGAATTCTTGCAGCTACAGATCAGTAGAAGTGTGTTGAACCAACAAGATACCTAGTCTTTGGCATCTCTAAATTGGCACCGGGAATAAATAGACACCATCCACTCTGATCTTGTTGTACTTTAGTTGTACTCTGTAGGAGCAGAGGAGGGTACACTCTGTAAATTGAGGGCAGAGAGGGGGAGGAATAGTTCTCTCTCTCCTTGCTGAGAGGGGTGTAAAAGTAAATTATTACTTTAAAAAGCTTCCACTCTTTTGTAAAAGGCACAAGGGAGAGCCATAGGACAGAAATGAATACATCTGTTGTCAGAGTAGCACTTGGAAAGTATGTGGAGCAGAAAGCCTGGGGTGACACACAAAAGTGAGTGAGTATAAACAGAATACTTAGTGCCAGGGTCCATGGGCCCAGTAGTCCCAAGACAGCTTAGGCCAGGGCTGTCAGTCCTGCCTCAGTGATGCTGTGCTGTAGGAGTACTCATCTATACCTCAGCCTCCTGGTCTGCCTGGCTGACATCGCATCTTGACCTCAGACCTGTCTCATCACTGCAATCTGTGGGCTGAGGTCATAGCTGAACCCATTCCAAGCTGGTTTGTAGATTTTAGTCACAAGTTCTCACCAATTTGCATTCACTCTCATTGTGAGAGGCACATCTTAAATCTGGATCCAGTTTCTTGTCTCCAACATATCAGAGGGCACAATGAACAACAGCTTCAGGTCCTGACAGACAGTTCAGGCTGCCAGCACCTTGGAAAGAAATCCTTGTGCATCATTGCTCTTGGATGTGAAGATCAGTTGGACCAATTCTTTATGAACAGACAGTGTTAAATACCTCTATGGAGTAAGCACTGAGGGGAGAGACTGAGATCATACCACCTACCTCAGAAAAGCACCTGGCATTCTTGAGCCAGCTGAAATGCATATGATGGCTGGTAAAGATGAGAAGCTTAAACGAGCCACACTTTTGTCCACCACTCACAGATACTTGGCAGTGTGCAAGGCAGTAGAATGTAGCATTCTAGCAGATGTCACTCCCTTGGTCTGCATCTCTAGAGTGCAGTTTGGTTTCCTCCTATGTCACCTTTCAAAATCCTAATATTTCCTGAGAAAAGTAACATACTTGGGTAGATAACTTGGCAAACAGAAGACAGGATGTATTTCCTGCTAGCAGTTACCTAATAAATTTACCTCCTTGGGAAGCCACCATGCACAGTCCCTGCGAAGGCTGTGCCAGATCCTGCTCTTGTCAGTGTTCAACCTGTGCTCCCAACTGTGGTACTGATTTGCTCTGACACACTACATACATATAGCTCTAGCTGTTTTACTCCAGACTGTTGAGAAAGGAGGTTCATGAGAAAAGAGACTAATTTTTTTTTCCTTCTACCTCATATTTGACCTGTTCTGTTTTCTCATGCTAGAACCTTACATATAGTCCTAGATCATAGACCATTTTCCCCTCAACACTTTAACACCTGTAGTATACTGTGTTCTAGCAGCTGTATTTTATGGCACCATGCATCTCACCATAACAACTGGTCTCTGAAAGCTCATACTATCATCTCTGCCTTGGACTAAATATGGGAAGATGCAGATCACAGAAAAGAAACAACATATCAAAATAATATGGAGGAACTGCTGAAAGTGGTAATGTAGTTTAAATGTGATTCCATGAAAGCTCACAGCTCTGTTTTTGTCCTCAGGTCCCTTGGTGAGAAAAGGTGCCTGTTCTACATGCTCATAGCCTACACGTGTGAGCTTGAAAAGGTGGTACCTATGTAGGGACTTGTGGGTTCCTCAGAACTCATGCTCAGTCTCCGTCAGATACAATGCAGGCTCTTTAAGGAGGACAACCTCCATGTACAGAAGGAGAACCAGGCTTTCCTGGCCCTGATCTAGTAAGTGAAATTCAGGGAAGAAGAAAGATAAACATATTCAAATAAGATTTTTGCCTATATCTACTTACCTGGAGGTCTTAGCCATGACACGCTGATGCTCAACAGTCATTCTGGCCCTCTGGCTCAGATGGAAATGATTTTGAGTCAGAGGAAGAAAGAACGTGCTTGAAGACTGCTTTCTTTTCCAGAGGAAGGGGTCATTAATTGACTCTGTAATGATTTGAGGAGGCCAGAAAGAGGAAGTAAGATTTAGTGATGAAAGTTTTGCTTATATTTTTTAGCTTACACGTTTTGCTTACATGTGGCTGAAACTGACAGAGATGCCATGTAAAGCAGCTGCTCCTGGTGCAACATTAGCAGTTAATGTCACTGGAGGAATAACAGACCAGACCACTACCTCAAAGACAGCTCAGTGACGTAACATATAAAACAATTCCTGGACTGAGGTGGTGCCTATAGGTTTGGTCTTCCACATCATGGTGACCTGCAGAGGAGCAGTGTATTCCCTTGGGGATTGTGCTCATGCAAGGAAATAGGTTTCTAACACTTGTGACTATGGTGATGGGAGGAAAGAGAACTAGACTTTGACAGGGAAAATAAGCATCCCCATAGATGCTGCTGCCTTGATCACCACAGGAAAAATGTCAAGTTAATTTGTATTGTTTGTTTATATTATTTGTAATTTATATATCTTCAGAAGGGCAAAAAAGATCAAGGGAACGACAGGCCAACCAGCTTCATGTGAATCTGTGGGAAGGCAATGAAGCAATATATCCTGGCACCATTTCCAAACTCAGGAAGGACAAGAAAATAATCAGTAGTCAGTATTGATTTACAAAGGAGAAGTCACGCTTAACCAACTTGATAACCTTCCACTGTGAGCTGACTAGTTTGTTGGAGACCACTGGGATGTTGTTTACCTTGGCTTTCGTAGGTAATTTTTTTCCTTTCCACAACATCGTAGTAGACAAGCTGACAAAGTATGGGTGAAATGAACGGACAGTGAGGTGAATTGAAAACTGGCTGAACAACCAGGCACAGAGGTTGTGATAAATGGCACAAAGTCAAGCTGGAACCAAGTCGCTAGTGGTATACCTCAGGGACTGATACTGGGGCCAGTACTGTTTACCTTCTTCATTATGACCTGGATGATAGGGCAGAGTGCCACTTCAGCAAGTTCACAGATGATACAAAACAAGGAGGAGTGGCTATTACACCAGGGGGTTCTGCTGCCATTTAGAGGGACCTTGATAGGCTGGAGAACTGGACAGAGAGGAATCTCATGAAGTTCAACAATGGGAAATGCAAAGTCTTACATTGGTAAGAGTAACTCCAGGCATCAGTATATGCTTAGGGCTGAGCAGCTGGAGAGTAGCTCTGCCAAAGACTTTGGGGTCCTTGGGGACAAGAAGCTGATCATCCACCAGCAATATGCCCTTATGATGAAGGCCAACAGCATCCTGGGCTGTATCAGGAAGACCATTATTAGCATGTCAAGGAAAGTGATCCTTCCTCTGTACTCAGCACATCTGGAGTGTTGAATTCAGTTTTGGGCCCACAGTACAAGAAAGACATGGACATACTGGAGCAAGTCCAGAGCAGGACTGCAAAGATGATTAAGGAACTAAAGCATCTTTCATATGAGGAGAGTCAGGGAGCTGGGACTGTTGAGCCTGGAGAAGAGATGGTTCAGGGGAATCTTATCAATATGTATAAATACCCGATGGAAGATAATGAAGAGAAGGGAGCCAGGCTTTTTTCAGTAGCGCCCAGTGACAGGACAGCAGCCAATGGACACAAATTAAAATAAAATAAAAAAAAAAAGAAGAAGAAATTAAATCTGAACACACAGAAACAGCTTTTTTTTACTGTGAGGGTGGTTCAAACACTGGAACAGGTTGCCCAGGGAGGTTGTGCAGTCTTCACTTGTGGAGAATACTCAAAACCAGACTGGAGACAGTGCTGCAAAGCCTGTTTTTGCTGACCCTGCTTGAGCAAGCAGGTTGGCCTAACCAGCCTGAACAATTCTGTGACTCACCTGCCACTTGTTTGATAAAAAATCCACCCTTAATATCTAAATCCTTATAAAAAACTCTGGGTCCTTTAGCCCCACTCCATCCATTCAAAATGGGCTTTCACAATCTCACGTTCCCAAGATTTTACGTTCATGGTATTGCTGCTTCTGCAATTCATATTGTTTCAAGTATCTTGTCCCCATATTTGCAAACCTGCCTCTTCATACGATTCCTCCCTGATCTCTTGTCATATTACTTCTTTATGTTCTGCTCTGACAGTCTGTCCTGCTGCTCTGTTCATCTTCATGCAGCTCTGTGCTTCCCTTAGGCATGGAACAATCTCTATCTTCTGCTTATTCAGATTCTGCTTGAATACCAAGCACTGCTGTGATGATTAGAGATACAGCCGTAACAGCAAAAAAAAGTAGCAGCACTGCACCACGTGTTTATTAGTTGTAGGTGCATTTCTTACTTTGCCTTCTATTTCTGGGTTTTCTTTGGAAAGCAGCTGCACCCTTATCTTGGGATGTTTGTGTTTAATGTAGCAGACATAACCAGCAGTGTCTCTTTTTTACTCCATCCCGTTAAATTCTCATGGCAGCAAATCAGCATGGTAAAACTGAAAGCAGTGTTGCCTCACTGCGGTCCTGGAGGCCTTGTAGCAGAAGACACATTTGTGAATACGCATAAAAAGTAAGGGCGAGACCCTTCAAGCCCTCTCACCTGGCTTGGTGATTCAGTGCTTTCCAAGGTGTGTCTCATGAAACAACTGCCTTCCAGAGATCAGAATTACATTCATTTAAAGGCTAGCCTCTCTTGGATGTTGTGGCAATGAACTTGTTGTCTCCAGTTTGGTTGTCTGAACGTGTGAATTGCTCTCTGCTCTTCCACCTGCGCCAGCGTGTGGCGACGCAGCCACCCCCCGGCGTTTGGCCTGCGCCAGGGGCTGGCTCACCCCCGCGTGTCTGTCAGACCACCCCGTTCACTGAGGCCGTGCGGGCTTCCCGCAACCTAGTGCCGACGAGACAGGGATCCAGTGTGAGCGCCAGCGCAGCGGGGAGCCAGTGGCGCCTGGGAGACCAATCCGAACCTCCGAATTAAGTCAATAAAAACAGCGGTTGTTTTCTGTTGTGATTTTGTGTGTTTTCTGTCTGGTATTGGGAAGCTTAAATTATAGCATCATAGAATGTTTTGGGTTGGAAGGGACCCCTCGAGGTCATCTAGTCCAATGAGAGAGGGTCTAGACAGCCGAGCCCAGCCGAG